TTTTTTTTTCCTGAAATGTTGCTAAATATAGCAAGAAAGTCTGAGAATTATATCTGTCTGAGATGAGTTGGTAACTGTGGGGCGACTATTGTTAATCGCAAATGTGCAGACAAGACCTGATGGACCGGTCTGTCAGTCAAACTTCTCTCATGGGAGAGCAGAAGAGGACAGTGGGTGATTTTTAGACCTTTCCTTAGGTACATAAGATCAGTGGATAAGATCGGCTTCACATGCAACTATTGGCCAATCACATATCTCCCAAAATAAAGGAAAATGGAGCCGATAAATTGGTGCACCCCTACTTATCGTTTCTCATGTCTCAGCTTAATACCATGATTATGGTATTTGCAGTAATGTTTCCATCAGCTCTAACTATATGTTTCCCTGCCAGGCCCGCCGTGCTGGTGTAACCTGCATGATTATTCCAGCTGAGAACAGGAAGGACTTCTCCGACCTGCCAGACTACATCAGAGAAGGGCTGGAGGTTTACTTTGTGGACCACTACAGCCAGATCTACCCCATAGTCTTCCCATAGAGCATTTCAACGTGTTAAACTGCTCATCATTCTGGTATAAAATTTATATTTTTTTTTAACCTTTAGTCCAGCTGTGGACCATCCCAAAGATCAAATGACTTTATGATGCATCATAAAGTCTTTATGATGCAGCATGCATCATGACTCGGAGGAGAAGCTGTGATATTTGATCAGGATGATGGGATTGGAAACAGCCAGGATCAAAGATGAGCTGGGACAGTGCAGTGATCACTGAGGAACTCGGGTCTGCTGCCATGCAGCCTCTTTATCTACACCTCTGTGGATGGACACTTTCAGACCTTGTTTAATGCAATATCAGACATGATCATATTTAAATAAAGTGTAAGAAAAAACAAATCCAGCCATCCATCCATTTTCTTCTGCTTATTCGGGGTCGGGTCACGGGGGCAGCATCTGGGGAGGCCCAGACTTCCCTCTTCCCAGCCACTTCTTCCAGCTCCTCTGGGGGAATCCCAAGGCGTTCCCAGGCCAGCCGAGAAACATAGTCCCTCCAGCGTGTCCTGGATCTTCCCCGGGGTCTCCTCCCGGCGGGACGTGCCTGGAAGACCTCACCGGGGAGGCATCCTGACCAGATGCCTGAGCCATCTCAACTGGCTCCTCTTGACATGAAGGAGCAGTGGCTGAGTCCCTCCCAGATGACCGAGCTTCTCATCCCATCTCTAAGGGAGAGCCCAGCCACCCTGCGGAGAAAACCCATTTTGGCTACTTGTATCCGCGATCTTGTTTTTTCGGTCATGACCCAAAGCTCATGACCATAAATGAGGGTAGGAACGTAGATCGTAGAAAAAACAAATTAAAATACTAAAATTATTTCATTGTGTTCAGATTTTGGTAAGTTAAGTTTATTTGTGTAGCATATTTCAGCAATAAGGTAGTTCAGTGTTTTCCATTATGAAACCTACCTCATCAATTATGAAACAAGCAGTGAACATTACATTTAATCAAATGTGAAATTGGTAAAAAAAAAAAAATTAAGAACCAGGTGTGACCAATCACACCCTCTTTTATGTCAACTTATCCAGTCAAACACTTTATTTACTTGCAGCTTTTATATCAAAATGAAATGAATGGTTGAACAGAAGCTGGATAGTGAGCTGAAGCAAGACTTGATCAAAGGACATGATCAAGAGTAAGCTTGGTGGGAAGACTGAGGTTTTCCTTCTATTTATCATGCAATAATAAATAGCATTTGGTTTTGGTTTTAATAATGAAGTAATGATCACAGTTTCTTCAGGTGAAAGACACAGTGGGAGTTGAACCAGTGGAATAGCTCTTTAATCAGCCTTTTTAACTAGGAATTTTGCCACCATCCGCTCCTAACAGCAGGATCTGCTTGGTGAACCTGTTGCTATACGACACTGAAATGAAACTGAGCTGAATGACATTGATGTATGCTCTCATTTATCATCAACAGCAGTCCTTTATTTTGTAAGAAATATTGTGACAGCCAATGGGATATCTTGTGATTGTGGTTCATGGATCACATGACAAAAATAAACTAGAAAACTGACGCGCTATGGGCAATTAGTCCTCCATGAATGTCTCAAGCGTTTCCAGGATCTATGCAGATTTCAACAAAGCTCCGCTCTCAAGCTAAAGGAAATTTAAACAATTCCCTACATCAATTGAGGTTACATTTTCCTCTGGTTAGACCGACAGCCGGTAAAAGGAAGAGCAGGTCTGCTTTAGAGGCGTCGGGACCTAGACCTAGAACATAGACCTAGATTTATTTGCTCTGGTTTTTATTAACCTGATGGAAATGTGCAAATGTAAGTAATCTGTAGGAAGGCTTTATTAGGTACTATCTTTGTTACCTAATAAACAAGAGCATCTGCTGGTGTAGGAGGTGTGATGCTGAGTGGAGTGGGGGAGGGGCAGAAGCAGCAGCTTGCTCCTACTAGATGGGAGGATGTGCTGGAAGACGGGCTGGAAAGCCAGCCGGATAATGGGATTTAGCATAACCGCATGAGCCGGTTCCGTCTGTTCCCCCCGTTCCTTCCCCCTTTCACACACCAGCCTCGGTGGCTGCTCCGTTGTCGCCTGCCGCTCCATACCGCGTCCCTGCAGTCGTTCAACTGCTGCCCTGCCTGGAGACAGGCGGCACACCGAGGCGACGCCACCAGAGTCCTGTCAGGCCTGATCAGGTAAATCCAATGGGTCGCTGTGCAGAATCCGTTTCTCTCCCTCTTCCAGGTCCGCTGCTGTGAGCTGCTGCAGCCCGGACATGATATATCTGGTTCTGTTGCAGTGTTGGATATATGCGCATGCTGGTGCTGCACTCATTATGGTTCCGAGTGCAAAACACTTTACACTTTCTGCCACCTCAGATTAGCAGTCATCGCTTTATAGACATATCATGTTAGAGGTATTGATCAACAGCAGTACTTTCACGTCCAACAGATGCAAAGAAAACAGTCAGTGCCTCGTTCTGTCAGTAGTTTCCTAGGAGACTAATGCGAGTATAATGTAGCTCAGATGGCTGTTGACAGGAAAGATCTTTGGATCTCACCCTATCTGAGATCCGAACACCCTAGCAGTCTGTACTGCACTGAATCTGAAGAAGGCTCTGACTGAAGATACTCTGTCTTCCCACTAGAGTCTCATGAGGAGGATGGTCAGTGTTGTCCATAATTTTCTTGAAGAATTATTCTTTGCATCACCATCTCCAGAGGTTCCACAGTCATCCCCACAACAGAACCAGAACAGAACTAGCCTTCATAATCAGGCTGTTGGGCCTTTTTTAGTTCTGATGCTGCTGCCGCAACAGATGACGGCAGAAGAGAAGATGTTCTCAACAACAGACTGATAGAAGATCTGCAGTATCATGCTGCAAACCTGGAAGGATCTTAGGTTCTTCAACAAGTCCAGTGTTAGTGACATATGGACCAATCAGAACTCTGATGTACAGTATGATGGAGCTTTATTCTTTTTCAGAAGTTCTGGTCCAAACAAAAACAACTTCTAAACATTCTAAAGGCAGACATTTAGTCATCTGGATTTTTATGTCAAAAATCATGCCTGTTTGATTGGATTCATAATGATAAAGCTGAGTGTCCTAAGCATAACAATGGAAATTTATCTCATGTTGTCTGATGATTGTGTAATTTCCCTCAGCAGTACTGGTGGAACCACTGTCGGCACCTATGACTCTCAGAAGGACTTGTCTGCCTGACTACAGTCTGTCAGATTATTGCAGTGGTATTAATCTTTGGCTCGCTATTCTTCACAATATTGCATGAGTTCATTAAAAGTTTTACAAAGATATATTTATGTCCAACTCTTAAGGTTGCACCACAGATTTTCACCTTTGTGCTTGTCAGCTGGTATGAGCCCCAACCCTAAACCTGGTTGTGTGCTTCATGGCCTGACATCTCTAGTTCGGTCTCTCATCTGTCTGAAGCATGTTGTGCCATAAGAGTTTTGGTTCAGTCTGATGCAACATATACCTCACTTTGTTCTTATTCTGTTTATCCTTTAACCCTGCCAAACAAGTTGCATTTGTTGTGTCAAGAATTTTAACCTTTGACCTGCTAACTGAGCTCCTGGGTCATTTCTCTGAGATTCACATTCTTATCTTAAGATGGTCTTGCTGGCAGCTGTTTGAAATCTTTTGTTGTTGGGAATAATTGTTCTCCCTGTTGAGTGATGTACCACTGATGGAAATAGATGGAAACGGCCTGGTAGCCAGACCAAAATAAGAGGGAACACATTTGCTCATTGCTGATTTTTCTCTTCCATGGACTGTGTTAACACACACCTGGATATGATGTCCAATTGTCCCACAGCACCAGGCTGATACTTTCTCTCTTAAATCTAAATAAAGTAGTGATAGTGATTAGTTTTTAACTTGCCTTTTTTATGATTGTGGTTGTTAAAAGTCCACCTGTTCGTTCTAGGACTACAATACCCATGATACATCTTTGTTTTTTGTAGTTCGACTTTCACGTAGATGAGCAAGTTATTTTCTGTGCTTCTGTGTGGCTCGGTGGCATAAAAATCCATCAACGGATAGCATCCACCATCAATCTTTCTTTAATCCCGTGTGTATGAGACCTGTGTGCGTTTTTATTATGTAAGTATACATTTTTCTGCCCGATATTTGGGATGTCGGTTATTAGCCCACTAGGTGAAATTAGCCTTGTGTTTTCTCTGGCTACCGATAATGCAAGCTATTACTTGTAATAACTCAAGTTCTATGCTATTCCTTGCCAGATATATATCACCATTGTAGTAGCATATGAGGAGATTTGCTGTTAATTCATATTTCTGACGGTTTTTTGTCATTTGTATGTTTATTGCATTTTACCGTTAATCCATGTATGGTGTTATGATGCCCTCTATTGGATTTCTGTGTTACTACAAGCCATTTTCATCCTGTATGTAGGTGTAACCGCTTTGCCCGCATGGCTATTAATATGCATCTTTGTTGTTTCTTCTGTTTCAGATAACCACACACATATATACACACACATACATATATACATACAAAACCAAATACAACTACATTGTTCCTATCTCTACGTCATCATCTGTCCCATCATCTCCCATGTGCTTCCTATTATTCTATCAATAAAACTTCAAAGCTGCACTGTTGGAGTTGGCCTATTCCTTCTGACCGAGGAAGATTCAATTGACGAGACATCCGTAATTAGCGCAAGCTAGCACGCAGTCTTTTACAGTGGTCTTTTGGTTTTATGTGCAGAATATTTCCCTCATCTGTGATCAGTCCTCAGCAACACCTCAACTAAAATAGTAGGTGAATGATGATGGAAACACGTGTTCCAAATAATAAATGAGATAAAGCAACAAAGTCCTAATGTGATGAGGCTGATGAATTCTCTGCTCTGCGCTCTTCCTCAGTCCTGCCTCTCAATGTTATGGCTTTGGGGTTTGTGCTTCTCTTGTCCCTCCTGCTCCTGTCCCCACACCCGTCTCTGGGTGTGTCTTCTCCCTGTCCTGCTGGCTGCCGCTGCTACAGCCTCACAGTGGAGTGTGGCTCCACCGACCTGAGGGATATCCCCAGACTCATTCCTCCTTCCACTCAGGTAGTTCCCTTCTCCGCTTGCCACAGGTTGACGTTTATTAGTAGTAATGGAAACACATCCACCATCAGGTTTTATTATGCTCCGTTTCTGTTCTCAGACCATCTTCCTCCAGGACAATGTGATCAGTCAGATTCGCCGAGTGGACCTCACACTGCTGAAGCACCTTCATTATCTGTATCTGCAGGTAACAAGCGGACAAACTTAACTCCACTGACATTCTTGCAGGTTAGACACTGAGACATTATCAGATTTCAGCAGTCATGATTTTTGGAGGAAGCTGGAGTAACAAGAGAGAACCAGTGCATGCACAGGGAAACATGCAAACTTGGAATTCAATCTTGAGATATCAGATTTAGTGGTATATGCTCCAGTATGCTGACCAATGGGTAGAATCAGTTAACACATGGGCCTGACTTGAAAATATGAAATATGTATACAAATATATTTTAGTTTATTTTCCTTTTCTGTCCCTCCTGCAGAACAACACCATTTCAGGTGTGGAGCCTGGCTCTTTTCGGGACCAGAGTCAGCTGTTGGAGCTCGCCCTGAATGGAAACCGGATCCACTTGCTCACACCGAACATGCTTCAGGGGCTTGAACAGCTCCGCATACTGTACCTGTCAGGAAATGATATCACACGCCTGCTGGACTACACCTTCCAGGATTTACAGGTAAAACATATCAGAACACACTGAAGCTTTCATGAAGCTACAATTAAATGAATAAATTTGCACATCCTGTATTTCTCAGACGGTGAACAAAGATATGAAACCAAAGAGATTAGATTTGAGAAGTTGTATGTATGCACTCTATTAAGACAGTCAGTGAGAAACTGACAGTTTTATCTAAACTGTGTCCATGAAGAGAGCCTGCAGGCAGTCTTTAACAGACATGTGCTCATAGCTTGTCAGCAAGAGCAGTTTCCCTATAAAAGTGGCAGGTGACGCTCTTGTAATCTCCACATCATTCTAAATTGAAAACGGCAGAACTACCTTAATCCTTCGTGGCATAGATTCAACAAGATACTGGAAACATTCCTCAGAGTCTGGTCCATGTTGACATGATGGCATCACACAGTTGCTGCAGATTTGTCGGCTGCACATCCATGATGTGAATCTCTTGTTCCACCACATCCCAAAGATGCTCTATTGGATTGATATATGGTGACTATGGAGGCCATTTGAGTTCAGTGAACTCATTGTCATGTTCAAGAAACCAGTCTGAGACGATTCACGCTTTATGACATGGTGCGTTATCCTGCGGAAGTATCCATCAGAAGGTGATACACTGTGGTCATGGTAGGCTGTGGCGTTGACACGATGCTCAGTTGGTACTAATGGACCCAAAGTGTGCCAGGAAAATATCCCCCACACCATTGCACCACCACCAGCAGCCTGAACCACTGATACAAGGCAGGATGGATTCATGCTTTCATATTGTTGACACCATATTCTGGCCCTACCATCCGAATGTCGTAGCAGAAATCAAGACTCATGAGACTAGGCAACGTTTTTCCAATCTTCTGGAGTCCAATGTTGGTGAGCCTGTGTGAATTGTAGCCTCAGTTTCCTGTTCTTAACTCACAGGAGTGGCACCCGGTGTGGTCTTCTGCTGCTGTAAACCCTAGAGACGGTTGTGTGTGAAAATCCCAGTAGATCAGCAGTTTCTGAAATACTCAGACCAGCCCATCTGACACCAACAACCATGCCACGTTCAAAGTCACCTTTCTTCTTCATTCTGAAGCTCAATTTGAACTGCAACAGATTGTCTTGGCTATGTCTATATGCCCAAATGCATGGAGTTACTCCCTATCACTTCACGAGCAGTTGGACAGGTGTGTCTAATAATGTGGCCAGTGAGTGTACAAGGAATGATGAAAGTGTGAGAGCATGTGTGTGTGTATAGTTTTTCTGGATCAGGTGAAGCTGTTCAGAAACATCAGTATGTGATGACACACCATCCAAAACCAGCTCATGCAAAAAGCAATATGGAATATGATTTTGTTTGTTGAAATCTGAAATTATTCCATAGTGATTATGCTTAAGCAGTACCTTCTGCTCATGTTGCTGATTTAAAGTCTGCATTTATCCCCAGCGTCTGCAGGAGCTCCACTTGCAGCAGAACAGCATAGAGATGATAGCAGACAAGGCTCTGTTTGGTTTGACTTCTCTGGCTCTGCTGGACCTGAGTAGGAATAACCTCCACACCATTGGTCCTACATCCCTGCGGCCGCTGGTTAGCCTGCAGGTACTGCGGATTACAGGTGAGACTAGATTTTTTTTTTATATAACTTCAGACATACAGGGATGAAATAAACATCGAACACACTTAGAGAATACTTTGTGTAGAAAAATAAACCAGAATCATATCTGAACAAGGTATTAACAAGACTCTCCACACAACAGGCATGTTGAAGTTGTCATCAGAAAAAAAGGCTTTACCACAAACATTTGAAAATTAAAACAAGATCTGAGAAAAAAATTCTAAAAAGAAACATTGATCCAATGAGGAGAATAAAGAATCGGGGTGAAAGGTTCACATCATCTTGTCCTCATTAGCAGACAGGCAGCTGAATTCTGAACCAGCTGTAGACATTGAACAAGAGACTATTCAGTCTCACAAAACAGGGAGTTGCAGTAGTCCAGTATAGCAGTAATAAAAAATAACTAACCCTTCCAAGGACATTATGAGGAAGATAATTCTTGACTTTACTAATAATTCTAGATCATTCTAGACTGGACTTCAATATTCTTAATTACTTGGGTAACTGTTGATATCTAGTGTGAAGTTCATATCAGTGGCCCTTCTAGAAATACTTAAATGAGAAATATGTTGACAAACAAATCACTTCATGGTGAAATTGTGTGTTTTTGATATAATGACACAGAAATTATTACAAAAAAAAATAAATCAGCTCCACTGAGGGGGCTCCTTAGTGGCCTTTGGGGCCCTAAGCGGCTGCTTAGTTTGCTTTATGCCTTGGCCCGGCCCTAGTCAGAAGTGTTTCCTACGCAGTACGCTAGTAGTTCAAGAAGAGTTGTCTATCATAAACTCTGGCATGGCATACCAGCACAGGAGTTTAAAGTAAAGAAATCTAGTTACTTTATAGAAGAGACAGTTCTTTAATTTTTGTAACTATAGACCTAATTAAGAATTCTTATAGTCTCTGTCTCTTTGTTGTAGATAACCCCTGGCGCTGTGATTGTGCTCTCCACTGGCTGAGGAGGTGGATTGATGAAGATGGTCAGCGTCTGCTCAGCTCCGCCGAACGCCGGCTGGTCTGCAATGAGCCACCACGTCTTTCCCACCTCAGCCTCGTGGAAGTCCCACTCAACAGCCTGGTGTGTATCCCTCCAGTAGTTCAGCTGGAACCAAGAAGGTTGGCAGTCCATCTGGGGGAGAGCCTCAGGGTGTCCTGCCATGCCTCCGGCTATCCTCGGCCACAAGTAAGCATCCCACAGCAGTTTTGTCAACATTTAAATAAGTTTTTCAGCTGGAATGTGTATTAAAGATTCATTTCCATCTAAACCTATTAATAAATAGGTATATAGGAATATATGGAATATATTATAGTTAGAAACTTCATAATAGGTATGACTTACTTTCAGACTTTTAGAGAGAGATTTTAATACGTTCTCACTGTTTGGAAATCATTTGTTCCGTCAGTCTGGAAACAATCAGAAAAGTGAAGGTGGAGGCTGGAGGTGGAGAGCTGCAGCAGAATGAAAGAATGAACTTCTGAATGTCTCATTCTTATTTCAGGCCAAATCAAGATATGGAATGTTCTTAAAGACCCAGTTGTGGCAGAATGTATTGATAAGATGACCCATTAAGAAATTGTTAGAATATTAACTTTCTCTCCCTTTGATGTTTCTTAAAATTAACTTTTAATCATATCACACTGATATAATTTGACAACATACAGTTAAAAACTAATTTGCATTGACTAATAAAATAATATTTAAGCACACAACTGTTATCTTTAAGTTCTATTTATGTGGCCATTTGGAGTCTAAAGGACCATATAAATAATTCCTGTGGGCCAGAATTGTCAGACTCTTGGTTAAAAAAAATGCACAAATCACACATCTGTTGCTTCTTTTGCTAGTAAGGTGTGTGTTATGATGAGTATTTCTTTTCAGCAAGGGCACTCAAAGCCTCTACATGTTTGCAGGTGACTTGGAAGAAAGCATCTCAAAGTCAAGTGGTGGACTCCCCTCGGGGTCTGGTTCATGATCTGGGTGCTGGAGGAGGGGAAGGGTCAGAGGAGCCGTCTGAAGGCAGAGTCAGCCTCCAGAAGACCGCCGGAGAGTATTTTGACCCTGACACTGGCAGTGGCATGCTGTTCCTCAGTAATGTGACTGTGGCCCATGCAGGTTTTTATGAATGCGAAGCCTGGAATGCAGGAGGTGTAGCCAGAGTGACTTTTCAGCTCGCTATCAACTCATCCACTTCTTCCTCAATCTGGGCCTCATGGTCTCAGGTTTCCTCAGCGTACTCCCCAGCTTGGCCCCGGCTGAGGAACCACAGCCCGGTTTTGGGTTCTGATGTGAGCCGGGAGCCGCTATACGCTCTGGGTAGCATGGCCTTCAGTGCTCTGGGAGCTGCCACTCAGACTGCCATCGCTGTGGGCATCTCCCTGCTGGCTTTGACTGCTCTGCTGCTAGTAGCCATGATCTACAGCCGACATCACCAGCGGGACAAGGACGCCGACGTTGCTGAAAAGGTGCATATTGTTTATTCTATGACATATCCAGCAGCTCACAGGATACTGCTTGAGCAGCTGTGACTGTGGTAAATAAATTTAGTAGATGTTTGGAAGCAACATATAACAAGTAAAATAAAAAGTAATCTGCTCTTAATTAGAACAACAAGCTTTCCTAACAGAGCAGGAATGTGAAGTCATTTTAACTGTATCACTAAATGTCTTTATTTTAAAGATAGTTGGTTTCCTCTCTCTTTATTATCTAATTCCTCATACTTCCTATAAAGTGGGCAATAGCCAAATTAATCTATATAATTTTAATTCAGTTCATTAACTATTATACAAAATTAAATGTGTTAATGTTTAATATTTCTTGTTAGTCATCACAGAAATTGAAACAGTTATTTAATAGAAGGATTACACACAATAAAATATTCGAAGCTTCTATTTTTTTCTGTTTTAACAGAAAACTATGGCTTACATGTAAAAAACCCCCACCCCTCAAAATTCAGTGTCTCAGAAAATTAGAATATCACATTAAATTAGACCAATCAAAATGGATGTTTTAAGCATAAGTGTCAGGCTTCTGAAAAGGATGTACATCTCTATGCACAGCTCTTACATGTTAATTCAAATTCATCAAAGAGTTATTGTGGATGGTGATGGCTGCGAACAAGAAGGGTCTCCTGTAGCAGTTTGTATTACAGCCAATTTGAAGAAGCCTTTGACTGAAGACACTCTGTTAATCTAAGACAGTCTCATGAAGATGATGATCAGGGTGTCCATAATTTTCTTGATTTTATGGAAAATCTTTTTTTGCATCATCAACTCCAGAGGTTCCACAGTCGTCCCCAGACCAGAACCAGCCTTCTGTATCAAGTTGTTGAGCCTTTTTAGGTCCCTGGTTCTGATGCTGCTGCCCCAACAGATGACGGCAGAAGAGAAGATGCTTTCAACAATAGACTGATCTGCATCATCTTACTGCAAATCTTGAAGGATCTTATCTTCTTCAGCATGTCCAGTCTGCTCTGACCCTTCTTATAGACACTTCACTCCAGTCCAGTCTGTTGTCCAGATGAACACTGAGGTATTTACATTCCTCAACCAGCTCCAATTTTTCCCCCATGATGGAAATAGGGTTTTACCTTTGACCTTGTTCCTCCTGAAATCTGCAATAATCTCCTTTGTTTTGTTTATATTTAAGATGAGATAATTTTTCCACACCATGACACAAAGCTGTCCACCAGATCTCTGTACTCTACTTCTTATCCATCTCTGATACAACAGACAACTGCAGAGTCATCTGAGTATTTCTGGAGATGAGAGAAGTCTGAGTTAAAGTGCCCTTTGGTGCTCCTGTGCTACTGATACTGTGCTACTGGTTAGACACACAGTCCTTCAGTCTCACAAACTGTAGTCTGTTTGTCAGGTAGTCATAGATCTAGTAATAGATCTTCTGGTGACTGCTCTGCTGTCTTCTGAACTGACAAAACAGTTCAGACTGAATTGTGAAGAAACTGAAGAAATCAAAGAACATGATCGTCACAGTGCTGCCTGCTTTGTCCAGATGACGGTGGATTTATGAAGCTTCCTGAAGTGCTGACACAGCTCTTCATGAAGCAGTGCTTGGCCCTCTCCGGACTGCCAACAGGAGTCTTTCCAGGACCTTTGTGATGTGGAATGACAAAGACGCGGTCAGCCTGTAACAATGCTTAGGTGTAATGAAAGCCTATATTGCTTTGATAGCTGCCTTTAGGTCATCTTCCTTGTTGGGTCTTGTCTACATTCCAGAGATTTTCTGTGAGGTTAAAGGTCAGAAAGTTTGCTGGCCAATCAAGAACAGGAACACCTGTTTATGGAAGGAACTTTTGGTACATTGACATCAGCATCTCCATACAGCTTGTCAGCTGAGGGTAGCACGATGAGCAGTAGGATGTTCTAGTAGACAGCTGCACTGACTCTAGACTTCAGAAACCCAATGGACCAGAACCAGCAGATGACATGACACCCAAACTACTCACTGGAAACTTCACTCTGGCCTTCCAGCAGCATAGATTCTATTCCTCTCCACTCTTCTTCACGACTCTAGAACCTTGATTTACACATGAAATGCAGAATTGATTTTCATTTGAAAACAGGACTCTGGATCATTGAGCATCAGCCCAGTTCTTCTGACCTTGTCTCTGGTTTAGGAGTGGCTATTAGTCAGTGTGTGGCTCTACTGGAATGGATTTCACTTGACAATCTTCCCAAGGCTACAGTTTTCCCTGTTGCATCTTTTTCTATCATACGGCTTCCTTCCTCTCAATTTTCTGATCATTTTCTGATAATGTGCTTGAATATATAGAACTCAGAACAACCAGGTTCTTCAGTAATGAAGTAATGATTTGAAAAAACATTGTGTCTCACCCCCTTGGGAAGGTGTCCATGACTGTCTGCTGTCCAGTCAGCAGTGCTCCCCATGGTTGTAACTGACTGAGCCAGAGTGAGAAACCTATTAAAGGGTCAGAAATGCTTAATAGGTATTTGTAGTCACTTAACTGACTAGGTTGTGACACAATGAGTTTCCAATATTTCACTAGTCACATTTTTAAGAGATACTGAATTTGTTTTTGTTATCTGTAAGCCATAATTATCAATATTTCAATAAATAAAGGGTTGAAATGTGTCAATCTTCCTTTATAAATCTCTTAACAGTTATTCAGCTTGTTTTCTTTATAAGTTGTAGGGCATGGGTGTCCAAAGTCGGTCCTCGAGGCCCGGCATCCTGCATGTTTTAGTTCTCTCCCTGGTTTAACACACCTGGATCAAATGATGGCTCGTTAGAAGGCCTAAGAGGAACATTGACATGCTGAAAAGGTTGTTACCACCAGGGAGAGAACTAAAACATGCAGGATGCCGGCCCCGAGGACCAACTTTGGACACCCCTGTTGTAGGGTAACTTTTTGCTATAGTAACTATAGTTCACTCTGTCTATAGTGGATCAAATATGGAATGGAACATTAATGTTACTACCAAGCAGTATTTTAGGCTGAAAAAATATTTGTAGAAATATCTTAGACATTTCAACAGACATGCTTATATGAATTAACCTGATAAATGTATACAACAGGCTATTTGAAAAGTGTGAACCTCTCAAGTTTTCCATTATTTCTGTATCCCAAAAGTGATCAAGGTGAATTTTAACCAGCAGGAGGAGAGCATCCTGTACGTGAATGACTACTCTGACGGCCCCACCACCTTTGCCCAGCTAGAAGAGTACCGTGATGAGCAAGGCCATGAAATGTATGTACTGAACAGAGCCAAGCCTGTGCTTCCCCCTGCTCCACCCACAGCAGTCTCCACTACCAATCTGGACTGCCACGCACCATCCGACACCTCCAGCCAAACCCTGTCCATTGGGCCAGGCAAAACTACAAATCCCACTGTCCCTCAGAACAAACAGGAGCAGCAAGAGATTGACATTCGAACCATGAGACGCATTGCAGGGGAAGGAGGGGAAGCGGAGCCTATTATCACATCAGAGGCAGAAGGGTTGTTTCTCAACCACACTGGGGTGTTTATGGAATCTCAGATAGCTTATGAGATCCACTGCTAAAGGACTGCAGACAGACAGAACTGTACCTTTGAAAAACCTCATGGTTTCATTTAGCGATGAATGATAAAGGCTCCCCCTGCTGACGCGTTCCGGAACACCAGACTCACCCAGGACTGACTCGAACAATCCTGAACGAGATAAAGCTCACAACCTGAAAACAGTTCAGAGATAACCCACATCTGATGGAACTGTATGATGAGCGCTCAGATAGTCTATTGGGTTATCTGCTACTAAATACTGGTTTTGGAGGGGAGCTTTGGGGCTGGCCTCATCTTTATGAGACCATGACATCTCATAAACACTACACTATTAGTGTGGAAAGAAACTGGTAAAAAGTTGACCACGCTATAAAGTTTTTCCCGTTAAGTTCTAGGGAAAGCTTGTGTGGTTGGATAACATGTTCATCGATGTACAGGAACTTTGTTGATCCACTAGAAGGATCAGGTGGACAAAAATAGAGTTTTGTAGATATAGATAAAATATTTGAAATCTGATTCCCATCTCTTGCTGCTATCATCATTATAACTTGATGTTACATTCTGGACAATAAAAAAAACAGGGTTTTTCCATTCTTTCCTCCTCCAACATTTACACATGTGGACAAAAGTGTTGGTACCCCTCACTTAATTAACGAAAAACCCACAGTGGTCACAGAAATAACTTGAATCTGACAAAGGTGATAATAAAAAATAATTCTATGAAAATAAATGAAAGCCAGACATTGCTTTTCAAACACGCTTCAACAATTATGTAAAAAAATAAACTCATGAAACAGCCCTGGACAACAATGATGGTACACTTAACTTAATATTTTGTTGCACAACCTTTCAAGGAAATCACTGCAATCAAATGATTCCTACAACTGTCAATGAGACTTCTGCACCTCTAAGCAGGTATTTTGGCCCACTCCTCATGAGCAAACTGCTCCAGTTGTCTCAGGTTTGAAGCCTTTTCCAGATGGTATGTTTCAGCTCTTTCCAAAGATGCTCAGTCGGATTCAGGTCTGGGTCCATAGAAGGTCTCTTTAGAACAGTCCCATGGATGTTAAATTTCTGAGTAATATGTGCAACTGTAGTCGGAGGAACATCAAGCTGCTTGGAGATGGTCTTATAACCTTTACCTTTATCGTGCTTGTCTATAATTTTCTTTCTAATCTCCTGAGACAACTCTTTCCTTTGCTTCTGCTGGTCCATGTTGAGTGTGATACACACCATGCTACAGTGACTCCAGGTCACTGTAGCACAGTGACCTGTAGACCTACATCCAATCGCAACTTGGATGGACCTACATCCAAGTTGCCATTGTTCAAATTCACAAAGTCTTGCACTTAGTCCTCATAACTTCTGAATTTTTTCAGCCACCACGATGGGGGTCTCCTTGCATCTGCAAGAATGTAATCAAGTGGACACACCATCATTTAACATGTCCCTTTATTTGGTCACATTATCATCAGTTTTGTCCAGGGCTGTTTCATGAGTTTATTTTTTAACTTAATTCTGTTGAAGCATCATATATTTATTTTCATAGAATTTTTATTAATTATCACCTTTGTCAGATTCAAGTTATTTCTGTGACCATTGTGGGTTTTTCATTCATTAACCGAGGGGTATCAACAATTTTGTCCATGTGTGTAGGATGGCAATCAGGATGACAACTTGGATTTTAATCAGTGTGGGCCTCTGCAACAGAGGTAGACTGAATAAGGGATGTCTAGAACATGTAGATTTCAGTAATTTGTGGATAAACCAAAAGCTATGTTTCAAAATGTGCCATTTGTGCTTTAGAACATGAAAGACAGAAGTTTGTAAATAAAGGTCTAACGATGAGTCCCAAAGTTTACTTGATGGATGTCTTGTACTTACAGATCAATTAGTCCATGAACCAAAACATGTCTGATTCATGTCATAGCAACATCAAAACATTGTTTCTCTGTAGTATATGAAGATTTGAGACTTTAAGTAAATAATATGCCAACTCTGAATTTTTACACATTTGATACTGAGCCTAGAGCTCAGTCAGGCTTAGCTCAGAGATTCTTTGTAAATCTGTGGGCACAACTCTAGGATAGCGTATATCCTTGAGGAAGGCAGCAGGCAAACACCCATCACAATCAAGGAATGCATCATAAGATGTCTAACACACAACTTTGTAGCAGTTGAGCAGTAGCAATACTGCCATGCCATTTGACAAAAAAACTAGAAAAGATGGTCCAATGTGGAGGAGCATTTTGAAGCTTTCTGACCTTGTTGAATCCTGTCATGATGAACTAGGCAGTTAGACACACAAAAACTGGGTTAAATTTTATACTAATTTGAGAATGTCTCCAGTAAATATTTGTGCCACAGCTGTAGAATTTATTCAATAAATGGATCCAAAAAGAAGGAAGCCCCCCCAATTTTCTGATTATCTGCTTATCACTTGGGGGCACTTTTTACATGTACTAAGAACATAAAAGTGTTATCTCTAGATGGTGATTAGTACAGTGGAGAAAATATGTATTTGATACACCTATTATTCAACTTTCTCACAAATACAGATGTCTGATTGTCATGGTAGAATCTAAATATAAAAAAAATCATACTTTTATATATATAATCAAAACTGCACTGTATGAAACAAGGACTGATCCCAAAAATAGAACTTGGTACTACTTTGTAAACTTTGTTTACAGTTACAGAGGTCACATGTTTACTGTACTTCTTTACCAGGTTTGCTCTGCAGCAGGGATTCTGGCCCACTCCTCTATAAAGATCTACAGGGGTCTCACTTATAAAATATTGCATGAGAAAAACTGTAATGGAAAAAACCCCCACTATTTCACCAAGACAAAAATCACTGTATTGGTGAAAATACACTGCCATTTGAGGTTGATGGCCACAGAGTGTGACCATTGACTGATGTACTGAGCTTCTTAAAGATGAACAGTCAGAATTCCTTCTAGTTGCTAGGTGATCAAATACCTAGTTCATGAAATGCTTATTTCAAAATCATACAATGTAATTTTCAGTATTTTTTTAAAGATGTCTGTCAGCTTAAGGTGTAGCTAGGAGGTAAATTACAGATCTCTCTGTTAGAGGGAAAACTTGGAAAATCGGCACTGTATTAGATTTCTCCCACTGTTGGTGTGCAGGTAAAACAGGATGGGAGCATCATGGTGAAAGTACTCTGACGCAGTGGTGTCATTTTACATCTTTACCCTGATACACATACAAAATGAGGGTTCATCAAAAGGGACGCACATATTTTATACATACGACATGACGTTTGGATGCTTGGACCGATGCAAAAACATTTTGGATGCATGTTACACTTGCATGGCAAGAGGAAACGTAACAGCTGCACTGTCACAAGATCTGACCCATTCATGTTTCCTTACAGATGCTGTATCTGTACGTCCTGGAATCTCAGAGAACTTGACAATGTTTTATAAACCACTCCTTCAGTCCAAGTCAAACAGATCCAGATATCATCAAACTGGTGCATGAAAGAAAGCTGAGCAAACTCCATCATATTAAGGTTCTATAAAACCTAACTGTGCATGGATCACTTCACCTGCCTTTGTGCCCTGATGCATCCATCACTGGAACAAAATAAATCTAGACATGTCAGTCCAAATGAGCCTTTTTATGTCTACTTTATCCAATCCAGAGTTTTACCTTGGATACATCTTGTTATCCCACATTATTAGATACTTTCAGGTATGGCAGTGTACATTTGAATTGTTCTCAAATTTTAGATCCCGTTTCTTCTTTCGGCAAAGTCTATTTCAGGGAAGTCATCATGGATTTCAGCAAAACGATGGAAAGCGACATACAGTGGACACTCCACCAGAGAAGAGTCCTGGTGCCCTAATGATGCCCAAATGTAGAGAACATGTGTTGCATCAATAAATGATAACTAAGATGACCACAAACTCTTCAGCAGATGGAATCCTACATCAGACATGTATGGGCCCAAAGTCCAACACGAAGACTCCAGAAACTGTTGGAAAGAGGAGATGCTAAGATACTCGTGTCCCAAATATTTTATGGCATTGTAAAGTTTCTCGGCTTAAACACTTCTTATCCATGTTGTGTTATGAATAAAATATCAGCTCTTGAAATTCTAAATTTTCTTCAATTATGAAGAACGCCCCAACTTTTCTGGAATTTGAGTTGTTCTAAAGCTGCTCTCTTATTCAACATGAATTAAAACTGAACTGACTTGCAGCCTTGGAAGCAGTGAGCATGACAGCCTACAGAACATTTGAGTAGAAGATGCTTAACCATAGCCTGAGCTGGTTTGAAGTCAACAGTACCCATCAGAGGCCTATGGGTATTGCTACTGCTCAACTGCTACAAAGTTGTGTGTTGGAGATCCTACGATGCATTCCTTGGCAGGGAACCTTTGATTTGTGCTCAGGAGCATCAACATTTTAACACCATGCTGAGGAACGGCTGGTGTCCTCAGTGTTCAGCATGTTTGAAAGAAAAGCTCGACTTTGTGCTCTGCTTTTAGATGGACTCTAGGATGAAACTGAGAAAAGTAGGTGGAAATCTATTATGACTGATTAACAATAACAAACCTCTAGCTAATGTTTGACTTAAAATTCTCCATAACATTTAAGCCTTTTATTCATCCCTTCAAGTTAATAACTGAAATGACTTCCTGACACAACAAAAAGGAAAATACAATTTAAAGTAAGAAAGATCAACATTTTGAAAAGTTTTAATTTGAAGCCAAAAAGTCACAAAAACAAGTTGAACAACAATAACATGGGGAAGAAATCCCAAATAAGAGCAAAAGGCTTTGGAAAATAAAAACACCAAAACACGTTGGTTTTGTTTATGATGGAAACCTCTTAGACCCATGGGATGACACCAGAGGAAGAGCTGGCATCCTCATGACGAGAAGTATGCAGAGGTCCCAGAAGGCTTTGTTTTCAAGGCCAACTCTTAAAAAAAAAAAAAAAAAGCAAAGATTCATGAATGGAGATGTTTCAATGAAGTTTTTCAGAAATCCTAATGATTTAATTTAAAAGTATTACTACACTGAAGAATAAATGTAGCAAAGGAAAGACTAACAACTTAAACTACTCAATTTGCAAATTGAGTAATTTGCAAATGTTCAGCAGTTTTACCTCTTTGGATAATGTTTGATGATAAAGAGTAGGCTGGGATGCCATCCTCTCTGCTGCTGAAGTACTTGGGATCCAGACCAGCAGAGTCTCCACTGTCCACAGGAGGAAACACCAGCTTTAAAAAGACAACACTCAAACATCTGGTTTCCTCTAGGACACTTAAGCCTCGTCCACATGGAGACCAACATGGTCACTTTCTGTAAATGATTGAGATAAAATGTGTGTCCACATGATAGGATACAGGGCCACTAAAAACTAAGACCACGGTAATAAAATAAAAAATAAAACCATGATATAATGTCTTTATTCTGGTAAAATTAAGACTTTATTCTCAGAATATTACAACTTTTTCTTGTATTCTTTCGACTTTATTCTCCAGAGTTTGTTCTTGTAATATTAATATCTTGTAATCTTATTGTTTTTATTTGGAGCATTAGCTCTATCATATGATTCTGACTCTGAACTACAATTAGGTCCTCAGATGAATTTATAAAATTGTGCTTATAAGTTTCCATACCGTGACAGAAGCTTAGGTTTTGTTATTTGTTGGGTGAAAAGTATTTTGAGCTAAACTCACAACTGTCTGTTGAGCGTCAGCTGAACTCTGTGCTCAGCAGGAGTAGCGTCTGACAAGACAGCAGGTTTACCAGGCTGAGGGTGAAACTGCACCTGGAAGTAAGAACATACGCACACACACACATAGTTATATGTATTAAAGTCACAGTATTGATGAAGGTGCAAAATAAAAAGAGCTTGCTGGTTTGGTGTTAAGATGTTAATTATAAAAAGTTGAAAACCTATGAGGAAAACTCTTCGTACCCTGAGTCCCGTTAGTGTGGATAATCCTGGAGACGTGTCCAGAGGTTCAGCAGGAAGTGACTTTTTGGATAGTTGAACTTCATTTAGCTGCTTATTAAGCCAGTTTATAACTGCAAATGCAGGGAGAAGAAGTGGCATTGAAAAGAATTCATCAGTTCATTGTTTAGAGCTGAGCAGAGTGCAGGCCTTTTACTGGCAGCCATGCTTCACTGATAAGCTCAGTGTTCAACTGTGGCTCTTGCTTCAGGTAAAACATTTCTTTTTCTTTTTCAATCATCTGTATAAACATTAACGCTATACAGAACATATATAACTGAGCGGAGGACATGAGTGGTAAACTGCAGGGGAAGGAAGCCCAGAGTGGGGGGTGTTAGCAGACGGAGGCCGGACAGCTCAGCATGTAGCCTCATCCCAACAACACCTCTACATGTTCCTGCTGATGTTTCCCCTCCAGATAACTGGATGGAGTACTAAAAGCTTCTGCAGCAAACTAAAGCTGCGTCCAAATGTCTGAGTTTAGCTGGACGCAGTGAACTGGAGCTCACATCCCTCTGTCCCTGTGGCAGAGCAGAGTGGCAGCTTCTGGATCTTTGGCACCTCAAGGAGAAGAAACTCTACATAGTTGCAGTAGTGGTGGAGACTACTGCGAACCATCTGTCAGTGCAGCACTGGGTTACCATGGAGACTCCCCTGCGGATTAAGCGCCAGGACTGGTGAACAGGTGCTATTTGGTCTCCTCACATCTGCCGAGCATAATTTCCAACATCTGAAGAAAATTATTACTTTATTTATGGCTGGACAGTAAATCAGTAACACTGTGGTTGACCACACAGCGTTCTGGGGAATGTAGGTAGAGGAAACATTTACCAAAACTCCCAGCCTGTGTTCAAGTACGATGCATTCCTAGGTTCCTAAGGTAAACTATAATTAATCTTGTTAAATAAGGGATAAAAGACGCTCCAGCAGGTTCCTTACCATTTTCATTTGTTTTTAAAACTTCTTTGCTTTCATTTAGCTTTTGTAAAGTCATTTCCAACTGCTCCTCCAGTTCTTTGACCTGTAATATACAAATACAATATTTTTCACATTAATCGTTTACATTTATAATACAAGGAGATTTTAATATATTCTCTTAATAAGCCAGGCTTCTAAAATAAAGTGTTTGATTTTAATGTTTGTGTGTGCGATGGCAAGTCACACAGGGTAAGATCCAAAACTCACCACAACTGGGTTTCACTTTAGTTTACTTGGTAGACATTACTTTAAATATTCCTTACTATACAATGTATTATTGATTCATTTTTCTATCACACCTTACAATGTTTATATGGACTGTGTACACATATCAGCACTGCTAGGTCAAAATTCAACTTTATGTGGTATTAATACTTCTTTCTGTCTTGGTTATGTGGGTGTTTGGCCTCTCCTTCCTGGCAGGCAAAAGGTGTGGCTAAAATACTGCTGATGGCCTCATTGAACAACCACATACTTCAATATGAGGAGGGATGGGGGAAAGGTTGTGTTTTGGGATTTATTTTATTGTTTTGTGTTAGTCGTCATGTGGCAGCCATTTTATCATCCCCATTGTGTCCATATGGTTTAGCTAGACCAGTATTTAAGTGCTCTAATGTTCATTTCAGGAGGTCAGCTTGTCTTATGTCTGTCTGAGGGTTTTATCAGTTATGATTCTGAGTTTAGTGTACTGAGATGACCTCTTTTAATGCCAGTGAAGTGTTGGTTTTGTCAATATTTTTTCAGATTTTTGGGATAAATAAAAACCCACTTTTTGAATTCAACACCTATACTGCTGTACTGTTTGGTACATGACAGCATGATTGAATTGAAATAACTTTTTTTGTAAAGCATCTCGAGACAATATTTGTTATGAATTGATGCTATAAGAAAAAAATGGAATTATAACTCAAGATTTTCCATATTTTAACAATTTATCTTTAGTCATGAGCTGCAAGTCTGAGTTTGGAAAGCCTCCTTGGCATTACCCTAACTATTTGCTCTTGCAAAAACATTATGATAAATGACTTGCATTGACGGTAGCTAGCTACTAGATTACTACCTGGGGCAACTGTGGCAGCAGCCACAGTTGCCCCAGGGCAGTCTGACAGCTCCTGTCTACTCACTGTTCAATAAAGGCCACTAGTGCCAAGAATGATCTCAAAATAGTCATTTTGCTACATTTTTGATTCTTTAAAGTTATTTTTGTTTCCATACAAAGTGAAGGAGAAAACAATTGACTGCTATGCCCAAATTAAAGACTTATAAAAGCTTACATGGTGTGAAAATAAGCTTGAGGGAAATAAAATTAATAACATGTCTACACCACATGGAAGCTCAGTAAAAACACAACACATCAGACATACCTTCTCTTCCTTACTGAGGAGCTGCCTCTGAGCACTCTGTAGATCCTTGTCAACACTTTCAAGTTTAGTTTGTGTCTCTCGAAGAACCTTTTCCTGTGACACAGTCACAGTATTTTTGACCTTTACTTTTCCAACAAGAACTCGTACCTCTCCTTGCAGTTTCTGGATTATCCCATTAGCCTAAAACAATAAAAAATGTACATTGGACACTGGAACAAATCACAATCAGTCTATAGTCTGGTAAAAAAAAAAAAACAGCCCCTTCTATGCTTTGCTTCGTCCAGAGGGTCTGGACCCTCAGCTATTGAGAAACGATTGCTTGACAGAGGCATGGACTCTGAAGTTTTAAATGTTATCCAGTTGCTAACATTTGCCCATGACATATGTAATGCACCAGTTCTAGGGCTGTTGTAAACAAATATTTTAGTAATCGAGTATTCTATCAATTATTCTTACGATTAATCGAGTCATTTTAAGGGTGCTTATTGGTCCCCCAAAAAATGACAAAAACCCAGACATTATCATCAGTCAACAAAATCCTCCCAGGCCAAAGTTGAAAATGGGATTTTATGCTAATAACACTTAGCTTTCATCAACAACTCATAGGTGGAAGTGAAAGTATTGCGCAATTCAAATAATGACCCGGATGGAACATGGTGCGCTAAATAATAAAACATAATTTAATGAAGCTTCAAGGCAGACAAATTTTCCTCGAGGAATTTTAATAATCAAGTTACTTGGATCATTCAAGGAATCGTTACAGGCCTAATTAGCTCAATGTCACAAAGTTTACCGGAAATTGCCTAAACTGTAAACAACCGTTGTCTACTGTGAAGAGAGAAGTAGCTCTGAGGAGGAGCTTTGTGGGAACAAGCATTTAGGCACCCCTGAATAGTTGCCTTGGGAGATTCAAGGATTCCTCAAATATACATGAAAGAATCAAGGCAACGCCCTGGGCATGTTTTTGATGAGGGAATAACATCATGACACAATGTAAAGCTCAAAAGGTTGATTTTACTGCCCCTTTAGCAAGAAAATTAATAACCATCAACTGAACATATTGGAGTCAGTCTTCCTCTTGTTTTGAGACTGTACATGCACTAATATGAGGATGATAACCCTACTTATCCATTTGATAACAGACAATTAGTAGATTAAAATAAATCTTTCAATATCAACAAGAGTTTTTCTCACCAAAAATACTAGAAAAAGAGCTAAGAGGAAACAAAACTCCTTATCTGTGTTCTAGCAACCCATGCTATCACTGATAACTTGATATGTCTGCCCATGTCTTAGGTGACACGTTCTGTTAAAGGGGTGACATGACAACAGTAAGCTTTTACAAACCTTTAGCAGCTCTTCTGACAGCGATTTTACTGTTGCTTCAAGTTTTCTCAACTGCACTTCCTTATTTTCTGCACTTTCTTCCACTGACTCCTACAACATAGATTAAAAAGTTAAAATATGTCTGAAGAAATCACAGATTCTGATAATAGAAAATGTGAGTAAACACGTGAGAAAGTGAGAAAGGATTCGTCTTCATTCAGTGGTTCACATGGGAAATAATGCAGGAGGGCTCTGATAAGGACACCTTATAGTGTTTGTAAACAAACATGAGATTCAAATATACAGAGTTTAATAATTAGATGATATGGTATATTCTCTTAGTTCCCTTCAGAAAAGGCCAGGGCTTCATAGAGAAACACTGTTTGTTTAACCATTCAGTAAAGGAATACAACATGAAGACCAGACCAGGGCGAAAGCAAATTTACACATTTCAGTTCTTGAATATAAACGGAAATCTATTATGCAAGTGAAAAAAAGAAAAAAAGAAAAAGAAATGTTGTTTAGAGAACCAAGAATATTTATTATGACATCACTTGACCCACAAACATGACTGTGGAACCACTAGAGAAGAACTAGCTCCTACCTTCTGCTGCTGAGTGGCCTCCAACACCTCCTTGGTGCGGTACATCACCATCTCCTTATCTTTGACCTCCTGCTCCAGAACAGCCACTCTGACCTGCAGCTGGCTCACTACACGCTCCTTTTCATGGACCTCTGTATCAAGAGTGCTGTTCTCCCTCCTGAGACTCAGGACCTGCTGCTTTAAACGCTGGCATTCCTGCTCACATAAACAGAAAACAACTTTACAACACAACACTTCAACCAATGAATGTATGAGAGTCAATGAATGTCATGGAGAGTTTTCTGGTTTCAAAAAGGAGCGTGTTCTTGACTTATAAAAATAACAGAAATATTCTCAGAGTTGACTCCGTACAAAAATTCTAATATAAATGTTAATTTTGTGGTAGAAAAACTATTTCACTCCTCACTCCTTCACCAATCAATCAGATTATCCACAGCAGCTGCTTTTGCTTGTTAATCACAGCATGAGGCTGAGGAGAAGGGTCTAAGCAAAAATAAATAAATAAATAATATATCTACCATTAGCATAACCTTGGATCAATAACATTAATAATTTAGCAAATGATAAATTAATCTAATTCTTAATAGGCTCCCTCCAGCAGTAATAAAAGATGACCTCTGGGACAAGTTTTTACTCTGTGCGCGGTCCGGCGGGATTGTACTGACCCAGTTTGCGCTTTTAAAAGTTTCTTTTTGTGTGGTTTCAGAAACTGACGGACTGACAGGACAACTACAACCCCTCTTTCCCACTGCTTCCCCGCTGTCCGACCATGACATTTGCTGCGCTCCTCCTGAGCGATGTCGTGCTACGACCACAAGAGGGTTAAAAAACGTTGATATCATTGCCTTGCAACTGTCTTTCTTTGGCCTCTCTGTCTACAAGCGGAAGCTTGTGTTCACCTGCATACAAACGCGCCTCATTCAGTGCGTATGATCGTCGGTGACCTGGCATTACTTTAAAAGGCTAATAAAATCAACATTAACTGTGAACACCTACCATTACTATATGTCACAATCTTCTTGTGTGGGCAGGTGGAGTTTGCCACCTGCCCACACAAGGGGTGTCAACAGAAAACATTGCATATGATCTTTACTGAAAATCTATGCACAGCCAAAAGCTGAAAATGGCACATCACAAGAAACATCCAGTTATAAAACATTGCACTCACACAGCAGAAAGCTACTTCAAGACAAAAGCCAGACAATGCAACCCATGACTGGGTTTTTAAACATGTGAAGTGTAAAAGCAGCAGCAGGCCACAGCCCCACCTACCTCTTCAGACCCTGATAGTTTGATTTTTAGGTCTCGGATGATGGACTCATTCTTATACCTCCTCTCAGTCAGCTCTCTGCAGGAAGTCTCCAGATCAGTCACTCTACTTTGGAGCTGCTGGGAGCTCTTCCTATGAGCAGCTTCCAGGTCCTGACGCAGTCGCTCTGTCTCCTGTTGAAATCTGCTTTGTAACTAAATAACAGAACAAAGACAAACATCATTCGATTTTACCTCAAACTGTTGCAGAACAGGCAAAGCAATAATAGGCTTGACTCTTTCAGCTTTAAATGTTACAATTTTTTCATGAAGCCTCAAAATGCCTGAAAATGCTGCAGAAACTCAAACTCTTTCTCCAGTTTGAGTTTCTCTTTAGTGGCTCCCTTTTATATCAAGAAAATGGTTTTAGCATCTTCTTTAGTGAGATTGAATATTCTGAGAGTGTTAATGGTCAATGTTCTAAGACTGCAAGGGCCTGGTGACTCCTGAAGTATGAGCCCAAACACCTGAAAGTCTTCCTCTTCATCATTCCATTCTTTAACCAATCCCAGTTGTGAGACAAACGCGGTGTGAGCAAGACTCATTTTTTCTCTCTGATGCTACAAATTACTCTGCAGGGATACAACATGTGGCCCAACAAGGCCAGTCTCTGAGAATGTTAAGTGTTGTAGGAGAACATCTGCAGACCTTACTAGTCTGTCGAACCACAACACTAGATATGGCTGAAGACGTTGGGATGTCGTAGACTAGGGAAGACACCAATGTAAAACTGAAAACCAAACCTCTTTCTAGGATGCTTGCTCAAAGGGCAGAGTTAGCAGTGCGTAACTAGATATTTGAATGATGACAGCAAAATGGGTATCGTGTACGATTCAGAGGGTAACCTGTCGCTTCCAAGGGATTTTTTAGCTTTAAGTCTCGATATGGCTCTTGACATCTCTTCATGTGTTATTGGGGCTGTCAGTCTCCTATTTTGTTCAACTCCAACTGTAGGCAAGTCCAGAGAATTAAGAAATACTGTTTTTTTGAGGAAGGTGGTTGTTTTGGTACTTTCTAAAGGTATCTTCTACAGCTTCTTGATTATACTGTAAATGATTTGTGGAGGGGTTTTTAATCTTATGTGTGGTATTTGCTGCTTGTTGCTTTCTGAGTTGCCTTGCCAGCAATCCATTTGCCTTAGCTCCTTGTTCATAATAGCCTTGTTTTAGATAAATTATTTTTTTCTGGAGCTCCCCTTTCAGAAGGTTGTTTATTTCTTTTTAAATATTTTTAATTTCTTTAAGCAGCTGAATATTGTGGGTTGTTTGACATCCTATCTTGAGAATTTGTAATTTTCCCACTAAACTGATATACAAGACTCTTTTTCTCTGATAGTGTTTGGAGGCTATGGCTATCTGTTTCCCTCTGCTTTACATGCATCCCATAAGTCTATTGGACTGATTCCTTCATTGTAATTTTTTTCTACATATTGTTTTATTTATTTATTTTTTTGTTCTTTTACTTCTTTCTTGTTCAGAATGCCAATGTTTAATTTCCAGACTGTGTCTTTTCTCCTACTATTTAAGTCTAATTTTACCTGGATATAAAAGTGATCTGAGATATCTGCAGCTCCGATTTCACACTTAATTACTTTATGAAGGTCCCACTTGTTCATAATCACATTATCAATTCTTGAATGCATGTTATGTGTCATTGAATAATGTGGTTGTGTATCATTGGAGAATGTGTTTCGCTGAGACATGGCTGCATGGTATTATTCACGTCTCCAACATCTCTCTGCCAGGCTTCCTAACTACACAAGCAGACAGAGACTTTAAAAGGAGTGGCAATAGGAAAGGAGGTGGATTAGCAGTGCATGTGAACAACTGATAGTGGTCCAGGACATGTTGCAGTGAAATGTGATCTTTGCGGCCCAGATAATAAACTGTTAGCTGTAAGTTTTTCTCCCTATATTTACCAAACGAGCCAGCAGCAGCAAACAGCAGCCTAGTGCCTGCCTCCAGCTGTTGCGCTTTCCAGAGCTCAGCTTACCTGTCCTTTGCTGATCTTAGGTGTTGAATTTTAAATTCTTCACTTGAAAACAAGGAACTGAGTCTTACCTCTAAAATTTTCTCCCTCTCTAACTGCAACTCCTCAGAATGACGGCTAGAAAGCGAGCTGGTCTTATTCGTCCACTCTGACCGCAGTTTCTCCAGCTCTTTAGTCTTTTCAGACAGAGTCTAGAAGAGAACACACATCCATTGGTAAATATTTTTGGCTCTCCTTCTAAAAGGCTACAGCAATAATCTGATACATTCTACATATAACAGTTTCAGTTACTTTATAAGTGTAGCGGTGGCGCCATGTCTTTGAAAACAATCAAAATATGGGACATCATCTCAGTTTATGAAAAAAGTAAAAATCTTAGGGTCCCACACAAAGCAGGTGGTCACTTACAGGCAACTGTACTTTTCAGGGCAGACTTTAGTGACCAGTGTGACCAACTACGCTAGAGATTAGAACCCAGCCTAAAATCAAATGGTTGATGTACGGGCGATCTGTGGTGCGATTTCAGTAAACCCACAATACAAACAGCACCGACATAACCAAACGAGAATGCACAATATAAAGTTGTGTTCATCTACTTATTGTAGTCTAAATAGAGAAGGAGGTAGTTTACCCTGGTGACTAAAGACAGAAGAGGAGATGCAGAAGTTAGACAAGCACAGCACCCTTCGCATGAAGGGTGCTGTGCTTGTTACAGTCGTATCCTGCCATGTGTACTCCCTTGTCAATCACACATCCCAGAAGATTTGCACTTGACTCACCCTGCCGTTACAAGCGACAAAATGGAGCTGGAAGATGTTAAAAGCTGAAAGTAATGGACATTACAGTACGAAACCAGCAGAGGGCAAATCAGTCTGGAAGTATTTTAAACTGGTATCAGTCGGACTCCAATTAAAGTAAATTAGTCTGGATGGATCAGACAGACCACAATGACCATAGGATGGGACCTGGTCAGGTTAGACTATTTTAGACCCAATATAAACTCTAAGTCACACTAAGACTTATCAACAAGCATCTAAATCAAAACAGGCACTGACAAAGACTGATAACTCAGTTGAAGTAGTAACTTTACAGATTTCCTATGGTAAATATGATGAAGATTTTAGATTGTGTCAGTAAACTATATCTATACACTGGTGATGGATTTTTGTGTTTGCAGGGTCAAACTCATTCACTCACCTGCTGAGTATAACTCAGCTGCCTACACAGATCATCTTCAGTCTCCTTGAACTTCCTGTCTAAAGCCTGCTTTTCTGCCTGAAACATTGAGAAAACAAGACTCATCAGTACTGTTGTATCGCATTAATGTCTTCTCTGCAAAGTGTTCATTCATTTCCAAGTGACAAGCTCCAGAAGTAAATGGCTATATTAGGGTTAAACATTCTTATAAGATGGTGTGGACTGGCAGTGTACTTGAACATATTTAGATGGAACAGAAATCAATACTGGCCCAAGATATGACCAAAAGAGTGCACATCTTACTCTTTTGGACAGAACAAAAGAAATTAATTTTTTTGGTATTTAGAACAAAGACTTCCTCTGTAACCAGAGGTAGGCAATGACAAAACAGATCACAAATATTTCCAACAAAACATTTTTTTTCAAAATCAAAATCTTTCACCAAATCCTTCGTAGCTCCATAGCTCTTGAGAAAAAAAAGATACTCCACTATAATTTATGACAAAAAATGTTTTAACCAAATTCTAATAGTTTTCTACATTTTTGTTAACTATTTTAGGAAATATGTTGCCATAAGCAGCTCCTGTAGTTTCCCCTCTGTGTGCTGTGAGGACAAACCAGCTTCAAAAAGCCTTCCACGTAGCATTGGAAGCCATATTAAACTTTATTTAATATGGCTTAAATCGCCGTTACTCACTTTCTGCCTTCTGCTTGCGGCTGCGTTGGTGTGCGTGAGAAAATTGTCCATCAGACAATGAATCAGGCACATCAGAAAGCGTAGTCACTAAAGATTAGGGGCGTAGCGGTGAACAATCCAATTCAGAATGTTCTCAGTTTGCTTCAATCAAAACAAACAAAAAATGTCTCTTATATTGACTATGAACTGCCTTACTGTTGTTGAGAGATGCATTTTCTGACAAAGTTCTGGTTTAGCCCATCTGTCTCTAGCTGTAGGAGACCTTAATGTTCCCTAACAGCAGAGTTTAGTGATTATCTGAAAGTCCTCTCAGTTCTGTTTTGAACTGTGACAAAATGGCGTTGGAAGTCGCCTCACAGAACGTTGCTTTGCACACTAAGTTTAACACATTTATGTGTTTATGTGCTCTGGTTTAAAACAATGCTGGACTCAGGCATCTGCCAACCTCACAGGGCTGTTCCGGATATTTTCGGTACCAAATGCGGGCCAGACTAAATATAGTTTAAATGGTCATTTTATTTTTAAAATAAACATAGTAATGTTTATTTAATATTTATTAATATCGTGGTAATCATTAAAACCACAAACCATTTCATCCTGGCTAAAAGAGTTTAAATTTTATTTTAAGTTGAAGGAAAAACAGGAAGAAAAACTTCTGAGTCTGAGCAGGAGTGCAGAACATTAGTGAATGGAATGTTCCTGACAAAATATAATGTCGGCTTCTGGCCTCTCAGATCATCATATCGACATGCCCAACACTGAACATAAAACTATGTATTTAATGTATTGTCAACTTCTGGCGGCAAAGTAACATGTTTACTTGTCTTCTGTGGTGCTTTCATACTAAGTAATAATAATTACAACTGTATTACTTCAATTTTAGTAGAAAAGCAAACTGATTTTTTCATTCAATAAAATAATTAAAAAGATCTAACCTGCATGGAAATGTTTAAATTGATCAGCTGTTGCAATGTACATGTGGCTCTATGTATGCATCTTATGTGCCTTAAACAGGCCTGGACATTTTAGTCGGTGCTCCACAAACCTCTATAAACTAAGATGGCACACTGTATTTCTGAATGCAATTTCAGAGAAGAATCTGGCATCATCACACCCAGTGCTGTCAGTTTTCACATCTTGTTTCCATCAGTATCAGCAGAAATGTAATGTTGACAACATGACCCAGCCCGGAGCCCACTGCAGAGTTCTGTGACACAGAACAGTGTGAGCTAACCTTCAAAGATGCCAGACAGGCTGCCAAATATTCTTTCACTTCTTTCTCTGAGCCTTGAATAAGCCGCAGAGATAAGTGGTTCAGGTGTTTGAAAGCATTTGTCTCCACTATGCTGAAGGTGGCACAGCCCTCGACCATAGTAGACTGGCATGTCAAATGAAGGAGAAACCTGTGGACATACATCAGAAAATACTGAATAAATAATAGTGATGATTACTGAATGGTGATTATTTAATTTATTGAAAATACCATCAAAGACGATAAAATTCTGCATCCACATTTACATAGAGTAAAAAAGTAAGAGATGTGGAATTCCAATGAAACCAAGCCACAGTCAGGTAGACCTGCAAAAACCTCAACCACAAAAATCAACAAAAAGCTTCAGGCAATATTCCAGGTGTACACAGTCTATTCCCTTCTCGCGCAGTATCTTGGCTGCACATTTCTGGACTGATGTCTGGTGTTGTTCCTGGGATCTGTTTTAGCCACTGTTCCAGTTAGGGGGTGAGGGCCTCGATGACCACAGGTACCACTGTGGTCTTCACCTTCCAGGCCTTCTCCAGTTCCTCTCTGAGGCCCTGATATTTCTCCAGTTTCTTGTTCCAGTTCCTGATGTTGCAATCAACTGCCTCAGGGGCCTCCTTGCACAACCTACACCTTGGGTCTGGTGCTTAGGCCTGTTCCTGTGCAGCCAGGATGAGTGCCTCTGTGCTGTCCTTGAGTCATTTTGTAGCAGCTGGTTCATTTGAGCTGCCAGTCGCTCATGGAGGGTAGTGAGTTTCTTCATTCTCTCTCGTGCTTCAGGCATGGGTATCTGGCTGTACTTCTTGGGTACTGATCTTTTCATCTCTGCTCTGACAATTGCTTCACTTCCCTCCTCGTTACCTGATTTTAGCCTCTAATCATCATGGTAGGTATTGAATATCATGCTCTTATAGCCAAGCATCTCCAGCATCCCTGATGCTAGGGATCGTTCTCAATGCTGCATTCACATCTTCAATGAGACTTTCTGATGATTCGTTCATTATTGTGGCTGCATACCCAGTCTCTGGACGGGGAGTTGGAGTTAGATCCATGTTTTCACCTCTTGCCCATTTCCGTCTTGTTCCAGTAGCCCATTTTTCATTAAGGTGCTCTGGTTTCCCAGCACCTGACACAGACCTTGTTTGGCTGGGCGGCGTCTGAGCCGGCATAGCATGCATTTCATTGTCTCTCATGGTATGAGGTAGGCAGTAGCGTGAAGGGTCTTGCCTAAGGACCCACACTGGATAGCTCAATTTGACTGTTGTATCTTTGCCCCGGCCTGGACTCTACACAGCTTTTTTTTCCACAACATTTTGAATTTCACAAGTCATAATCATNAAAATTAAAAGGCATAAAGCTTTGAAATATTTAAAATAACTATGAATTAATATAATATACAGGTTTCATTTCTGAAATGAGTGATAAAAATATTTATCATTTTTACAATTACATTATATTTGTATTATTTGACTGGATGTCATGGTGAAAAGCATTTGTTCATACCTGGGATTGTCCGAGTCTTGCTCCAAGTTACACAGGTTAAGCAGGTCAATAAACTTCTGAGGAAATGATGCAAAGTCTATCAACAGGCCCTGCTGCACTTTCAAACTACTCAAACACACAAAAAGCAAAATAAATAAATAAATTTTAAAAAATCAGATTTCAATTTTAAACACATCTGATATTCTTTAGCAAAATACAAACCTTTGGAAGTCTTCTTCTGATATAGGAAGGGTGAAAAGAAAATATGGATCTGTATCATCAGTTAACTTTACTAGAAGATCCTAATATTTGAAATAAGAAAAATTAATTAATTAATACAACATTTAAACTGGTAAAGTGATGAATAAATGTTGCTTAGGCATACTGTCCATCTTTGTGTGCTGCACTTTCACAATACGTTATTGGGATAGTTCATGAAAAACTAAACTCACCCTTCTGTGAACTGGAGTAGTTGACAACTCAATCATGACACGGACATTTGCTTTCCTGTAAAATGAAGCCAAGTTACCCAGTTACCTTTAGCCTGGCTTTGCTTGGATATAAAGCAAAGCTAAAGAGTAAGTAAACTAATCTGATTAAAGCTGTAGATGCATCAAATTGCAGTCATCATCGCTATATTGTTTTCAGCATAACAAATGCAAAGGACTGCAATATTTGTTAAGTGATTTACACTAAAACTTCAGCATCCAATAGGAGAGACAGCAGGTTCAAATCGTGGCACCGGCACCAGACCAGCCAGTGGCATGCCGCAACCTGGCACGGGGTGCCACAACCAGCTACTGCTAATAACGGCAACTTCTAACTTCTTTGACGTATGGCACGGCTTTTGTGTCAGACTGAAAATTAATTATTTTATTTTGAACCAAAAACAAAACAAAACAAACAAGAAAAAACCCCTAAATACATACATCCGTCACTAATTCGGTGACATATACCGCAGCTTCTGTGTCAGATTGAAAATTAATGAATTTATTCAATAAATAAACAAACCGGTGGATCTGGCACCAAGTACACTTCGTTGCAGGAGGACCTCACTGTCTATGCTCGCTGCAGCAAACGGAAAGGGGAGGGGACGGACCACTGTCAGTCTCAAACCTTATTTGGAAATAGGACCATTGCAATCCAGAAGTGAAGGAGGCGCTATTTCCCAGAAGCATGAATATTTACTTCAGCGCAAGTCACAGTTCCTTAGTCACATCTTTTCTGGCTCGAAAACCACCCCCCGTGCCACTAACACAACAAATATAATTTTACATTACTAAATCAGAATACAACATCTTTAATTTACTATTAATTTCAGCATTACTTGCAAAAGATAACTTTTCTTTTGCCAGTAAAAGATAAAAGATAAATTATCTTATAAAGCATTTTTTTTTTCATTTTCTTAAGGATGTAGAGCTAATTCAATGACAAACAATACTTTTATATATTATATACTTTTATACTTTTTATATATTATATAAAAAGTATATATACATATTTATATATATGGCAAACGGCACGTTCGAGGAACACACGTAAAACAGACACATTCAATGACATATAGGAAATATTAGTACAGAGGATCAAGGCACAAGACGGACACAAAATAAAGTTCTGAAGGAATTAACTTATTATAATGAACAAAACAAATTGGGTGAGGTACCTGTGAACTATAATAAACATGAACAGTAAAATAAATAAGTAAATAAACTAATAAATTCAGTGTCTCTCACATATATATCCATCAATTATAGGAGGAACAAAAGAAATAAGGAGACATGAAAAACAACCAGGGTTGTTAAACCGATACAAGCAAAAATTCACATTTTTGTTTTTACGGTGCCATGTATATTATTCTGAAAGATTTTTTGTTGGTAGAGTCTTGTATATAGGACAAAATAAGATGAAACTATCTAGTCTATCAAGGTGGAAATTGTCCGACTAAAATAATTAATCATATTCATAGAATCACAATATCAATAATTTGTGAATAGAGCAAAATACTTAGCATGCTATAGGTAAATGTTCTTTAGTTTGGTTAAGAATAATTATTGCACTGTCAATAAAAGACTTCTAATAGATGTTCTTAGTTGCTGGAGGAACACAGTAACATCTTCATGAGCTCATAGGTTCAAAACTGATGAATAAAGAGGATGGATGCTCTCTGCTAAAATATTTCCTGCCATCTTCCATGTTCTTTCAGCAAACAGTTGAGACAAAGTTGTTTTTGGTTTCACCACCATTTACCTGCTGTTATACCTGCCATTCAAAGTATTCTTAAAAGATTGTCTGTTAGTCTGCAGCTCATGTGACCAAACCACCGAGGAGATGAAAAGTTAAAACTCAAGTTAGAATGTTAAGTTTTAACATTTTAACAACCTCAAGCTGGGTAACCCCTAGATCACTAGGTCTTCTTAAAAGGTAGTGTTGGTTTG